CCCCAAAACCCCAAAACCCCAAAACCCCGTTTAGAGAGGTCTTGGTTGAAAATTTAAGATTGATAATAAAAAATGATTTCTTCTAAGTTAGCCAGGAGGGCAATCATATCACCTAGCTTGCTAGCTAGTGATTTCGCAAAGTTAGCTGAAGATGCTTCCAATATAATATCCCTTGGAGCAGACTGGCTGCATGTTGATGTTATGGATGGACATTTTGTTCCAAATATAGCAATCGGATTCCCAATCATAAAGTCTTTAAGGAAAGGTAAGAATCTTCTAAAATATTAAAACTGAGAAACAGTTTGACACACGAGACCCAAGATTGTAGCGACGTTTGCTTATAGCCCTTCGAATTTAAAACCTTTATATAGCTCTCCCAGATGTGTTCTTGGATTGCCACATGATGGTTCAAGATCCAGAAAAATGGGTAGAACCTCTTAAGGAAGCAGGAGGAAGCATGTTCGTATTCCATTACGAAGCTGATATTGAAGATTATGAAGCTCTTATTGCAAAGATTCGAGATAATGGTAATTTAAAACACTTCAATTCAAATCTTTTTACTTTGTGATTCATCTATTTGTAGGAATGAGAGCAGGAATTGCCGTCAAGCCATACACAGAAATCGATGAGACAATCTATGACTTGATAAAGAAAGATCTGGTAGATATGTTCCTGGTCATGACAGTGGAGCCTGGATTTGGAGGTCAGTCCTTCATTGAAGATGCTATGCCCAAGCTCAAGAAGCTCAGAGAGGATTTCCCTCACCTTGATATCCAAGTGGATGGAGGAGTGAAAAGATCCAACATGGATATCTCAATTAAAGCAGGAGCCAATGTATTAGTCAGTGGCACTGGATTATTTGGTCAGGATGATGCTGAACAAATTATGAAAGAAATGAAAGCTGGAATTGATGAAGTCACAGCATCTGAGGAAGAATCATCTTAATTCAATCAATAAAGTAACTATTGGGGTTTTGGGGTTTTGGGGTTTTGGGGTTTTGGGG